ACACATGAAAGACACATACACACACACACACACACACACATACACACACACACACACACTCCAACCAGAAGCTAGAAGACAGCTATTTATTTGGGAGTTCTGGGGCAGGGGGTGGTCTACTTTCTGATTCCCTGCTCATCTTTCTCCTTCCTCTTCCCAATTGTCCTAATTCAAATACTATAGTGTATGGTTTTCTATAGAAGCTTTAGAAAACCACCCTGCACTCCACTACATCCATACCCACTCCCACTTCACCACATCAGACTCCTGTTAACTATTTGTTGTCTGGACTATAGCAAAAAGCATTAATCAGGGCTTCCTGATGTCAGTATCTTTTCACTAATCCATCTTCCATGAGGCTGCCTGCTAGAGGGAAACATTCTAGAGCTCAGCGCTGTTCTTGCTTTGTCCCTGCTCAAAATCCTTCCTTTCCTTTCCACTGTCAGCACAAGCCAACCCAGACACCTGGCATTCATGGGTTAAATAATACCAGGGGCTCCTTGCCCCTGTTTATGTCCTCTGCCCTCTCCCTACCCATGCCCACCCCATGCTTTCCTGCACCCTGTGCTATTCCTTTGAGCTAGAACCACTCCCTTTCTACCTATCAATAGCCTACCCACTTTAAATTTAACTAGGTTGTTTGAATTTCTTTAGAAGGATGACTACATCTTTAACATTTAAAAAATTTTAATGTTCTTATCCTTCAAGGCCCAACCCCAAAGTTACCTCCTCCATGAAGCCTGCCTCTAATCTATTAAAAGCACTATATTAGAGAACTGAACTTACACCATTCAGCCTTCACAGGTGTGTGTGTCTTGGTGCACAAAGGAGAGCTGATGGAGGATAAAATGAAACTTCTGATGCTAGTGCCTCCTCTGGGGCAGACAATGGGCTGGCACTCTTCTTGTGTTACTGCATTGGTCATAGTCCTGCAAAGACAGACTTACAAATCCCAGGCCTCTGAAGTCTCAGGCCAGCCTCTTTTGAGCTATCTTATTCTAGTCATGGACTTGAGTCCTGGCACCACCACTAGCTTTTGTGTGACTATGAGCAAGTCTCAACCCCTTTCTGGCCTTGATTTTTTCAAGGATCCTTCTAGTTCTGGATTTTATTATTGTAAGATGAAGGGTTTTATGCAGCTATTCCCATGATACATCTGGTAATAAGTATGTCCACTATCATTATCGTTTTTTCTCTCTCTCCTCTTTCTTTGTTTCCTTCTCTCTTCTGTCTCTCTGTCTGTCTTTCTGTCTCTTCCTGTCTCTCCTAGTCTGTCTCTCTTCCTTTTCCTTTCAACCTCTCTCTCTTCTACATCTCTCTGCCTCTGATTCTATCTCACTCTCTCTGCCCCACCCCAGCCCTAGAGTGTGAATCTGGCTGAATAGCTTCCAACCCAAAATAGCTCCAGTGCTTTCTAAGTGTTGTTGTTGAGTAGAGGTAGAAATGATATCCCTCTGAGGGTCTCGGGAAGATCAACCATCCCCCACCTCTCCCCTCAGAAAGGGCTCGCAGAGCTAAGGAGGAAGGCAGCAGGATGAAGGATCTCATAACAAGGCTAACTGGTTCCTACCCTCCAGCTTTTCACCCAAAGAGAGGACATTGCTCACAGATCACAAAGGTTCTCCATTTCCTAGATGATCTGAGACAGAGATTCTTAACCACCATATACTCATTTTTTCAACTCCTCTGACTCATCATTTTACAGATGTGAAAACAGGCTCACAGACAGGAAAGGAATGGCTCACCATTACACAGTCAAGTTATGGAAGAACTGGAACTAGAATGCTGGTCTCTTGACTCATAATAAAGTGCTCTGAGAAGACTATAAAACTGATTCAGCACCATCGGTTGAAAGGAACTTTTCATGAGCATTTTGCTAGGAGAAGAGAAGACTGAGGATTACTGATGGGTGAGTTGGAGACTCCATAGATATCCAGATTGAGAACACTCAAGGACAGGATTTAGGTCTCCTTCGTCTCCAATGAAAGCTCAATAGAGTGTCTCGATGCAGCTCAATGATGAATAAATGAGGGAGAGAGCCTCCATCAGGTCACTTGAGGGACACTCATGCTTTCTCTGGGGTTCTGGGTATTTATATGCCACACTCCAGAAGCCTTGAAATCAAAGGATGAAGGGATTTAGTCTTAGTGTGTTTTTAACTTGCTCAGTCAAGAGTCCCCGCATCACCAACACCCATAAATTCGTTTCTTCTTTGTAAAAGTATTAATGATATATGCTTCATCTGGCTCCCTGGAGCTTGGAGAAGTTTCAATTAAAATAAAGGATAGGAAAGAGCTTTGACAAAAACAAGGCAGCCCTCTGCAAATGTGATGGCTGGGTGCTATGGTGATGTCCCAGCTAGCAATTATGTTCTCAGCGACTGTGGGCACCCAGTGAGTCATCCTCTCACTCTCAAAGCCAGAGGATTTGAAAGGGGAGAAATGAGGTGAGCCTTTTGTTGAGTTTTTACTTCTGTGAAGGGAGGCCAGAACAGGAGTGCACAGAGCCACCTCCTACACACACACACACACACACACACACACACACACACACACTGTGCCCCAAATTCCAGCCTCCTTAGAGCTAAACAGCCAGCTTTAGCAAGAACTTCAACCCTCTTCTGCTATTTAATTCTGAGATACCAAGTCCCCAAGCTATTGGGGTTTCTTAGAGATGGGAAGTTAGAATCCTAAAAATTTATTCAGTCCCAGTTTTACATTCAGCCTTGGGCTCTATTTCTGATTGTAACTAATTTACTCTGCAACTTCAGACAAATTGCATTCCCTCTCTGAGCCCGTTACATCTTCAATATACAGAATGATTTAGATGCCTAACATTATCTTTCAGGACTCCCAGATTTAGAATACTTGGGTTTGAGTCCTAGCTCTGTCACAACTGTATGACTTTAGACAAGTTTTGTCCTGGGCTTCATTTCTGCTCCTATAAAATGAGGTATTTGCATTAGATGCTTAGCACTGTGTTTCAAGAGTTTTGGACGGAGATTCAGGAAATCTGACTTCTAGCTCTAACACCACTGAATAAATCATTGTCTGGGTTTAGACTGGTCTCTTCCTTTTTCTGGGCCTCAATTTCCCTATCTGTGTCATGAGGGAATCCAACTTTGAGTTATTTAAACACACCCTCTGATTCTAACAGCCTCTGGTTCTAGAATTTTACAGGCACTGAAAAAGGAAGTGAAGGGAAGGGAAGCCACACCCAGAATAATTTCTCATAAACTAGCAGTGGTTGCCCTCTATAGGTCTGACCTGAAAGTGCAGGCCCAACTAGACAGCAGTTGCTAAGGCAACTGCTGAAGAGCTGAGGCAAGAGTGGAACACAGAGGGACAACTGGATGTTTCACCAGATAGGGCCAGACACATAGACTAGAATTGGCACACAGATTTCCCGGCCCTGTCCTAATAAGAGGGGTCCAGATAGTAGTGTGTACTGGGATATTGCACTTTCCTTCCTAGTCATCAGTAGTAACAGAGACTTCCAAGGCCTATATAGAGCTCATGGTCAGTGGGGTCTCTGCCACAGATAAAGTAAGTAAAAGAATCTTTTTTACTTTATTGAATAATTTGCCTACACATTTGAGGGGATGTGCATGAATGTTTGAAGATGGAGTGTGATTGTGCTCTGAAGGTGAGTATGAGAATGAGTTATTTTCATGGCTGAGAAGTTTTAACATGTGAGGTAAAGAACTCTTCATAAGATATGGAAGAAGCTACTCAAATTAAAGTGTTTTTCAGCATCCTCATCTACTCCCTACTCTCCTCGGAGTAGAAGCAGTTCATGCCTGGCCAAAAGACCTAGGATGACCTTAGTATAGAAATGACAACCTAAATCATGAGGAGATTAAATACTGGGGAAAACTCAGCATTCAGGAAAGGTCCTAAAGTCTAGGGGATTTGTTAACTCAGTCTTGGAGTATCACTAAATTTGGGATAATCTGTGGACTCATTCTTGCAGAGCATTATGTGCTAGAGGCTTAGGAGAGATGCAAATATAGGGTTTCGTTACATAAATAGGCATATACTAAGCCTTTCATCACTGTCATTCCATAATGATTCATTATAGAAGGACTAGTCTGGTCATGAAAATCTATACTCCCCTATCCCTTCTCCTCTTCTTGGGTTAAAATGTCTGACCATCCAACCCAATGCAAAGGGAAAAACTGTTCCTTATTGTGTGACAAAGATGGTTGCAGTTCTAGTTCTGCTCCTGATTCACTGTGTAACCAAGGCCTAGTCCCAGCCTTTCTCTGGGCCTTAGTTTCCCTACCTGAAACAAAAGGGGGTTGGACTTGATGAGTTCCCAGGCTTTTCCCAGCCCTGACATTCATTCAACCTGGTTCTTTTTTTTTTTTTTTAATAGAACACTTTCCCTATCATCCCTTCTAGTGCTACGTACAGGCTTATTTTTTTAAATATGTTTTTATTGATTTCTGAGAGGAAGGGAGAGGGAGAGGAAGAGAGAAACATCAATGATGAGAGAGAATTATTTATCAATCACCCTCCGCATGCCCCTTACTAGGGACTGAGCCTGCAACCTGGGCATGTGCCCTGACCAGGAATCAAACCGTGACCTCCTGGTTCATGGGTCAACACTAAACCACTAAGACACACCTGTTGGGCTTCTTTCAGTGTTTCTTAAATGGAAACTTCTCCCTACACAAGCTCCTACTTCTGGTAAGTGCCCAAGTTTTCCACTACCATGCCCTAAACGGGACAGCAAGTCTTTTATTTTACTTCCTCAATTTCTGGGCCTGACCCCTTCCCCCACCCCACCTTGTTCCCACCAAAAACAAAAAGTTATTCTCTCATCAAGGTGTGTAATAATAGTTTATTCTGAGGAACAGATACAATAAAGATAGCAAATTGTTTTTATCCTATCAAATAATTTGCCCACACATCTTGTCATTAGTTTATTACACCAACCCTATCCCTGCTCATGTCCATAAGCTTCTACCCCCAAAATCACAGATAAACCCTGGAATGAAGAGTTCAAAGGATATTTTATTTAAAAGTTTTGTAAACAGAATTATGCTCACAGCTTCAGCAACAGTGAGAGTTCAATTAAACCTCCCTGCTCAGCTCAGTTGCCTGGAGCACTTCCTCAGACACCCCAGAAGCTTGAAGTCAGACCTGAGGAGGTCCCTTCTCTCCCTCCTGGAAGCCAGTTTCAGGAGAGGAACGTGGTTGTTGGCACCACAAGAAAAGCCAGGAGTGAAGAGCATACAGGTAGTAGAAAAAGGAGGACACGAGGTGGAAAGGAGGGAATAATCAATAGCAGCAAGGGTTGGAGGTAGACCCATTGTGGGTACTGAAAAGTGTTTGGAAATTTTTAAAAAGAATTGTAAATGAGTATATCCAAAAATATATTTTAAAAAATCTGTAAGTGGAAATCACTTGCCTTTTGTTGCCAACAAATTCAATTTCCTCGATCCCACTTATGCAATGTGCAGCAATAATATTTCATGTCTATTAGTGACTACATATTGTTATTGTATCTGAGATAGCATGGTTAATATTGACTAATATATTGTGGTTAATGATGGTTAATACTATATCTAAAATACTATGAAAAAAATATCACTGAGATGGGAAAAGAGGGAAGGAGTGGGGAAAAATATAATGGGATAATGAGGAGGCCATGGAGTTAGAGTGCTTTCCCGGGTTCAGACCTGGCTGATCCACATTTGTTTGGAGTTTATGAGAAGCTCCAAAGGCCTCCTTATGGCTCTAAGGAGCATTTGTCCCATAGCCAGTATGGGGATCAATTCTATAATCTGGCTATGCCTGGGCACTGCTGATACTGATTGCCATCAATACTCATAACCAGTTGCTGTCAGATATCCACTGACAGTTGCTATTAACACCCACAGCCAATCACCATTGATATCCATAGGAGACTGATGTTAATATCTTATTACTATTATCATTCAAAAGTCCCCCATCTAAACTATGGTCTAGTTGGGGGGAAGGGAGAAAGGGAGAAAGGGATGGGAGTGGGGAACTGGGTGAGAGAGGGTTATAGCACCAATCCAGGAAGAACTATCATCTATAATTCCTGGTCACTTTGGGATTAAGAGAAAGCCTAGTGTGGGACAGGGGGAAGCTGAGGCCTAGCTGGCCTTGCCCCTAAGCCCCTTCCTTCAGGATGCCACCTGATAATGGGGAGTCTACCCTTCAAGCTAATGTTAGCTAATACTGACTAGCAGAGATTGCCATGACCTGGGACTTCTCTTGAAGGATTCTTTGCCAAATCCAGGTTTAGAAATCCTTATCTTATAACCAAAAACTGGCAAGAGGAAGGTAGCGATGGTGGGGTCCACCCCTCTTGACCAATGGGCCCATTACAGGATGCCATTAGGCCTCAGTTTCTGGTGGGCCAGAGCTACAGCATAATAGCGTTGGAAACGGACAAGGAGCACAGGCACCAGCAAGACACCCGTGCACATGCCCATCGTGGCTGTGACAGCAGCAGTGAGCTGGCCCAGAGAAGAGAGGGGATAGACGTCTCCATAGCCAACAGTGGTAAGAGTTATGACAGTCCACCAGAGACATGTAAAGATGTCTCCAAAATGGGGCTCACCCTGACCTGGGGTGGACATGCCTAAGAGCTCCCCATAGAGGAAGAGAAAGCCAAAGAATAAGATCTCAGCTACCCAAATCAGGAGAAAAGCACACACCTCCTTCCAAGAAGAATGAAGGGTGTGAACCAGGACTCTCATGGCCAGGGACTTTTCAAGGAAGCCCAGGAGACGAACCAGCTTGAGGACATAGAGAGAACGAATGGCCCCAAGTGTTAGGCTGAGACGGGGTTGCTGTTCAGCCTTGTCACCTACCACCAATTCCACCAGCACAGGGAAAAGGCAGAAAATATCGGCTAGATTGAGAGGGCTACACAGGAAGCGCACCTTATCAGGGCAGGAAATGGCCCGGGCAAAGAGCTCAGTTCCAAACCAAAGGGCACAGAGCAGTTCCAGGTAGAGTAGGTGGGGGGCACGGCGGTAAACAAGACCATTGTTCTGCTGCTGCTGATGGTTTCCCCCAACCCCTACCCCATGTCCCATAGGAGTGAAGTTGGCAGAGAAGTAATCCAGCTGGACCTCCGTCTCCTGGAAGAAGATGACCAGAGCACACACGGCAAAGAGTGTGGAGATCAGGGAAAGGCACTGGGGGAAAAGAGGCATGTCAGAAGTACCCCCATTTACAGTCATCCCCACTTCTCTAACTGGACCCCACCCACCCTTCTTTGCCTCCCTTTTTTGGGAATCCCCTCAAATTGTCCTGGGTGTTTGTAGGTTCAGGGCCCAAGCACTGTGCCAAGTGTGTGGCCATTGTGGCATCTTGGCAGGGCCCTTTGGGAGTAAGAGTGTTTAACATGGCATTACAACACTGTTAATAAGTTACCTTGGCCCCTAAGGAAGATTGGGGTTGGTCAAGAAGCACCCAGAGCCATGGCTTCCAAGCATTCCGCAGTCCCTGGCCTCCAATGGGGTTCAGCAAAAGGTGTTCATCCATGTGGGCATTCTCACAGACCTCCCAAGACAGAAAGTCCTGGGTTTGGGTCTCCTTGCCACTCAGCTTGAGCCAGCAGCAAGGTGCCAGCGGTGCTTCTGCCAGGCCCCAGTAAGCCAACTCCTCCTCTAGGACATCCCGACAAACGTTGGCAGGGCAGTGCAGCTGCCGAGTACGGTAGTAACCCAGCACGTAGCCAAAGAGTTCAGGATTTCGGTCAAAGAAAAACTCTCGAACTGGTGGACCCTGAGCAGCTGGGGTGCCAGGTGGGGGTGGCTCGGTCAGCTTGTAGAGACGGGTGCCTGGAAAGGCCCGCACAGTGCTGATGTAGGTCTCATGGCGCATGCCCCCCACGTTCAGGATCAGTTTATCATCCAAGCCCTCCATGGCAAACTGTGAGCCTGCTTCTCGGCTGGCTCGGATCCGCTGGCAAGAGGAGGGATGACAGGGGTTAGGACAAGGCTTAGCCAGGGCAGGGAGAGAACTGAGGACCACAGAAGTGATGTGGCAGCCCAGATACCCAAGGGAGGCTACCCTAGGCTAGGAGCTAGAGGTGTGTCTTCCTCCTAGGTCTTCGAGAATCAGGACAGCCAACTCTCAGGTGTTGTCACAGTGACTAGCCAGAGTCTCTCCTGAGCCCAGCAATTCCAGGAGAAAAAACAGCCTAGCCTGGATACAGATGTCTTTCAGGGGCTCTTAGGAGATGCCTGGTGACTCTGAGAGAACAATTGTGCCATGGTATACAGCAGAGGAGTCACAGACAGGCAATGACAGACTAAATGGGCAAGATGGGGACAGGGGCGTCTCTTAATCTTCTAACACTTTGAAAACTCGGGGTGGGGGAGACAGGGGGGAAGGTGAAAAGAGAAGCTGCCAAGGGAGGCTAAGTGCAGGAAATGGAGTGAAGATGGGAGTGACAGAGGAAGCTGGCGGGCCTTAGAGATCCCTTTGCCTCCACAAGGAGTAGGAAGTGCCTGACTTCAGAAACTGGCTGGGGGGTCGGCAGACCTGACAACGATGATTTTTGACTCCGACTTCCCTGGCACCTGGTCCTGGGCACTCAGCAGCAGCAGCAACTGCATCAACTGCACCAACAGCACCAACAGCACCAACAGCACCAAAAGCACCAGCAGTACCAGCAGCAGCAGCAGCAGCAGCAGCAGCATCCGTTGGTCTCTCTACTGGGCGCCCTAAAATTGCTTTGGGCTTAATGAGCTCCTTGCCTGGGAACAAAAAGGGGCAAGAAGAGAGTGGGGGCAGAGGAGAGAGAGAGGGTGGTAGGAGCACAGAAAGGCAAACCAGGGTGGTCAAAACACCTACCCAGATCAACATTTCAGTGTCCCATACCCCCTAACCAGCAGCCTGTTGGGGCCTCCCATGTTTGTCCCTGAGGGCAAAAAAGGATGAGGGCACAGGCAGCCACCTCCAGTCTGAGAACATCACACCTCACACACCCACCTCCCATTCCTTTCACCTCTCAGTCAGTCCTTCCTTACTCACTTGGTTGTTTTGCATGATCCACGAACACTGGCAGTGAAGGGACCAGCGGCTGGCTGGGCAGGGGGGCTGGAGACGGTGGGGTGGGTGGTGTGGCCAGCATTGCTGCTGCCTCCGGAGTTCTTGACTGCTCCTGCATGGAGAGATCTCAGAGGCCTCAGGACCAGGGTGTGCTCATGGAAGAGCTGGCAAGGAGCTGGGGCTTTCCAGGAGCCTCCCGTTCCTGCTGTGGCCAGAGGAGCAAGGGCTGAGAGGCAACAATCCGATTCAGGGCTATATGTGTTCCTGCCTGCTTGTTTAGGAAGGGCTTCCTGGCCCCCAGCCTGTAGGGAATCAGACAAGAGACCCTGGCCAACTTTGCTGCTCCTCCTTCCTCCCCCAGCTTAGTTCCAGCCCAGAGCAGAGGGAGGGGAGGAGGCAGCTGGAAGAAAAACAGGAAGTTAGGTAGTCAGGCTCCAGCCAAGAAGCCACATCACAGGACCAGTTAATATTTCGAACAACTTTTCCCCCCACCCATCCCCACTCTAATTCCCCACCTTCCCCCCAGCTCCTCTACAATCCTCTCATCAGAAGCCTGAAAAGGAGGAAGGGGAGTGGGGGAGGGGGAAGTGAGGAAGATAGCTTGGGAGGCCAGATGTGCTCTTGGCTGTATCTAGCTGTTTCTACCCACTCATTTTTTTCTTTTTCTTTCTCCCCACCGCCCCCCCGCCCCCGCCCCCCCCCGCCGCTGCACTCATTTTTCTTCCCTTTTCTCCAGAGGCCTTGGTGCCAAGGATGGGAGTAGGAATCGGAGAAGGACAGGGGCAGGGGAACAAGCAGCCTCAGAGAAAAGCCTGCTTGCTCATGATCTATGCCAGAATTGGCAGTATCCCCAGCCCCTTGAGATAAGCCACATTCCTTCCTCCCCCTCTTTCTCATTCCCTCATCCACCTCTGCCTCCAGGACCCCTTCCTGGGAATTAGGCCAGTCTCCTATTTTTCCGCTGATGAGAGTTTGCTAATCAAGTACCCAGAAGATCCTAAATTCCAAGATAGCCCCACCCCCACCTCTTGGCCCAACTCCGAAAATGCCTCTTTCATCACCAGACCCTAAATTTCCAGGAGTAATATAGACTCCTACCACAATTTAACATACTCCCTAGCTCTTCCTTTTCAGTCCATCTCTCAGAGCCAGGGTCAGTTGGATTGAGTTTCAAGACATGCAAACAGGCTCCTGGCTACTCTCTTCCCTCTTAATCACTGCCTTGCTGTGGGGCTGGTGGAGGGGAAGGTCCCTTCAGTGGTGGTGAGAATGGGGGGAGGAGTGGGTGGTGGTGACAAACACAGGCCTTAACTCCATTGTCTATTCTTACATCAGCCAAGGAGGGCAGGCAATAACGGGCACTTCAGCACTTTCCAAGTGAGAAGGGTTGAGGCAACAGTTAGTTTTCTCTCTCACTACCCCACTCCCTTTCCCTCCTGTGTCCTGCCCCTCATCCATATTAGCCCTTCTTGAATCCCTAAAATAACCAGTCTATTTCATGACTGTCCTATCCCTTCCAGCTATCTATTATCTATTAGCTACTTATTCTTCCACATCCATCTCCAGTGTCACTTCTTTGGGAGAACCTTCTTTGAATCCTTCTCCCCAAAACAAGGTCCTGTCCTCTACATTCTCACAACCTGCTTTGAGGTTTTTATTCTAGAGCACTGTTCTTACTAAAACATTATTGTGCATGTATCCATTTCCCCACTGTATTAGTTTTCTAATTGTTGCTATAACAAATTTCTACACATTCAGTGGCTCAAAATAACATAAATGTATTATTATCTTTCAGCTATGAAGGTCAGAAGGCTAACACAGGTCTCACTGAACTAAAATCAAAGTATTGGCAGGACTCCATTTTTTTCTGGAGGTTCTACAGGAGAATTTGTTTTGTTGATTTTTCTAGCTTCTACAAGCTGCTTAACATTCTTTTGCTCTTAGTCCTCTTCCTCCATCTTCAAAGCTAGTAACAATGGATTGAGTCCTTCTCACACCTCACCACTCTGACCATCTCTTCTGCCTCCCACCTCTTCCACTTATTAAGACCCTTGTGATGACATTCGTGTCACCCAGATAATCCAGGAAAATACTCCCAAATTGCATAAATAAACCCATCCCCTTACCTTTCCTTAGCCATTCCCCCCTCATGCCCTCTCTTTTTCCAGAACACACACACACACACACACGCACACACACAATTTCAAAGCCCAGCTAAAATGTTTCCTCTTCTGTGAGACCTTCCTTACCATTCTATAAGAATTTATTCCTCCTCCCTCTCCATCTCCTCAACAGTTTATAGTTCTATTTAGCATAGACTCCGTTCTCCCTTATGTGCTGGTTGTTTGTTTACTCCTTAGCTTATCCACCTCTGGGGTGTATTCATCTTGGTGTCCCACCTACAATCCACTCTATTTCCACCCACCACTGCAGCCTTACCTCCATCACACAGTGCCTGGAACCAGTCACTGTTTACCCAGCAAATGAATGATTCACTCATCTTTTCCCTGGTACAATGGAAGGCTCAGGAGAAATCTTGGTCTATGTGTTGGAAAGTCTTTCTGCTTCCATAACCCACGTCCTCCTCATCCCCAACTCCATACACAAACCTTGGGCCTTGTGTGTTTTTCTATATTCATCCCGAAAGTCCAAAATTGCACCATTCAGATGACTGTTGTGGTACACTCACCTACTTGCTTCCCAAGTCACAAAATGAAGGACTGAAAGTCACAATGGGCATGATATTTGCCCAAGCACCCTCATCATATTAGTAACCAAGTCAGAAGTAAGTCGCTGAAAAGTTTCCAGAGTTTTCAGTTTGCTTTGTACCCAGCCACCACCCATGAGCCTTGCACAGAAAAGTGGATAAATGGTGCCACACAGTGGCTAAGAGGCTTAGCTTCACCTATAGGCCTTGTTCCTAGAAAGTGGAATTCCCACCACATCCTGGCTCCCTTTCCCCCCTGAAGGATGAGGGGACAGGGAAGCTACCCTCCAGGAATAATCCATAGGATATCCATATAGCCACACTTTCTGTAGGCAGAAAACAGGACCCAGATGTATTATCACACATATTCACCAAGAAAGTTTGAAGAGTGTAGATAACAGACAGCTTGGGAGCCAGAGAGTCCAGTTTCTTAAAGGGACCTTGGAAGAGGGGATTCAGACCTTCCTTCTCTGAACCAGCTCTGAAAGCTGTTCCCTGGGCCTGACACAGTCCCCTCTATTTAGAATATGCAGATCTGAAGACCCAGGGTACAGAGCTAGAGAGGACATTCCCAGATTCTTTCAATAGGGGTTTTAACAAGTTAGTTTGGAGGTTAAAAAGCTGGGCCTTTCTCCCTTTGGACACAAAACTGCACCCTAGTTGATCTCCCAAAGCCTTCTTAGTCAAGTTTCTAATAGGAATCATCTACATTGTAGGTCAGAGGAAAGGAAGGTTTAATTTCAGGCAGAAAAGGGAAAGGGAGGCAGGTTTTGTGTCATTTGCCAAGAGCTGACAGCATTCTTCATCTGGGAATGAAGATTCTTGGAAGTTTAGGAAATAAGAAGCTCCCTGGGGCTGCATCTAGGCCAAGGCCAGCTGCTTGGCCCCTCCAATAAGCCATCATCCTTGACCTCCAGCTGGCCTATAGCTGGATGCCTGCGTAGAAAGAGGAGGTGGGGAGGAGTTGGACTGCCAGGAAAATAAGGCTTGGCCCTAGCCCGGTTCCAGAATGAAATTGGGGGCAGATGACTATAAATCAGGCAGAGGCCCAACAACAAATCAGGCAGGAGTCCTCTTTCTTCATTCCTCTCCCAACTGAGTTTAGAGTTCCAGGAATCTGTCCAAAGGATGGGGCCCTGAATAAGCTGGTTGCTGGCAGGCTGGGGACGAAATGCCTCCTTAGAAAGCTGGGTAAGGGAAGAAAGAATGATAATGAGATGGAAAATGGAGAGCACTGAAGGGTGACGGGGGCTTACACATGGGGCGGAAGCACATTTTGTGAACTGGGGTGGAAGTTAGGCAGCCAAATGATGTTTAAATGAAATGATCTTGAAAATTGACTTTCTGGTTGGCTTGGAACTCCTACAAACAGAGCAAGACACCCTATCCCAAGCCAAGGTCTCAAACCACAATTTCCTCTTCCATCTACCTCTATCCTCAGGCCCAGAGCACATGATGCCATTCTCCCCTAGAGTTGTCCCTCCACTCCAGAGGGATGCTGATTTTGAAGTTGGTATGATTCTAACACTCATTTGTCTAAGCCCTTTAAATCCATGGAGTATTCCATATACTTCAACTACCTTTCAACACCTAGCACTCAATTACAACACAGGGACAATCTGGCTATGACAGGTCACCACTCAAATGGCCACCTAATTAGCACCCCATAGCTCTGTGATGTTGGAAGGACAGGGAGAGTTATCTCCATTTTACAGATGAGGATATTGAAACTCAGAGAGATGAAGTTAACTGACTCAACCTCAGTGCTGGGGGGCTCTAAAACCACTCTAGTCAAAATCACCTTTTGCCGGAACTCCCAGCCCCCAGTCCCCAACCCCCATTAACACTCCTGCAGAAAGCGTGTATGTGCAAGTACTTACAGAAATGGGAAGATTTAACTAGAAATGATATCAACTTAAGATGGCAAAATGGAGCCAGCTCTAAAATTAAAATGAATGAATAGGAAGCTTGTCTTGATTGGAAATTAGAAACTTCTGGGAGGTACACAGATAAATTCTACAGCCTGTCTCTGAACTAAGGAAGGCTTCTGAAGCTGCTCAATGCCAACACCTCACTTTTCCCTCTGCCCCAACTGTCCTTTAGTACCCTTTACTTCATTGTCCAAATTACACTCCTTTTCTCCTCCCTCTAAATTACACTCCTTTTCTCCTCCCTCTTCTCTTTCTTCTCTCACCTCCTCCACCACAGCTCCCTACTAACCTAGGGCAGTTTGCCAACCACTGATAGGGCATACTCAGAATGGAAAATCAGATCAGAATAGACTAGAAAAAATATTCGGGTAGCTTCCTTTGGAGAAAAGTCAGTATCAGACACAGAGGAACCAGTGATTGTATACATTCCTTGGACTAAAACAGAATTAAGAAATCTACCTAAATACTTCCCCAACTTTTTCCAGAACCCTGATGGGTAAAAAGGAATTAAATTTAACTGTTAGAACATGTAATCCTGGCTATTCCAATCTATTCCAATTGATATACCTACTAGCTTCTGGGAGCAAAACAACATAATTTAAGTATAGGATTGCTCTAAGGACTATGAGAGAGTGTTTCCCCTTTTAACTAATAGTTTAGGAGAAATTAAAAAAGGGGAAATTACTAAGACCCTCGTAGATACCGGGGCTACTTTATCTGTTCT